TGGAACCACAATGCAGTTCGCAAGAGCGTGACGTTCACCGCCATTCAAAGTGAATGGAAGAAGCGTTGAAGCTTAGCACGCTGCCGTGTGGACGCTGGCGTACGTGTGTGGGTGTCGTGGTGGTTTAGTCATTTTTGCGCTATTCTTTACCTTTATCACACAGCACGCCTTTATCTTTCAGTTTGCTGTGGTTGTGACAGGGCAGTGTGAGTGGTGGTGAGTAATGGTGTACTTTGATGTTTTTATAGACGGTGTTACCATTTTTTAATAGTATTCCCGGTATGTGATGACTTGATAATAAGATTGTTGTTTTTTATTGTTTGAAGTCTGTTGGTAAATAATCTAAATTGTTTCTGATACATAGTGAATATAAGTATCATACTCTTGTGAGGCAAATCCTGTCTTGATCCTTTTTGGTGACTGCCAACTGTATACTTTTTATTGGAATGGATTTTTTTGCTCTTTTTGCATTTCAGTAAAAAGGGCAAATTTTACAGTCAGAAGAGCTTTTACTTTTAGGCGTGGTCACACTAGCACATACATTTCTGAACATATTTATGGGTGCTCTGTCTCGAGTTTTTTTCAGGACATTACTCACCAGGTCTCCAGTCGCTCTATTTCTGAAGCAACACACGAGAAGACCCAACGTCATTGTTTTTGCCAAGTTGGGACATTTTCAAGACTTCAACAAAATGCAACTTTTTACACACAAGACGCCTCTTTCAATTGACTTTTAATTCAACTCTGCGAATTCACCTTGCTTTCTGTCTGATACAATTGTTCTTGTCTGATTGGAAATGTGGTATGATGGATGGAAAATGAGTACTTAAAATTAAGTGGAGCCTACAGGCGCTGTGTTCGGCGTGCTTTTATGGGTTTTCCGCCTCCATGCATGATTAAAGTGATAAGTGCTCATTCACTACTATCATGATCATTGTTCTTAATTATCTGTTTCCCAAAGGTGGGGACAGTTCCTCGTCTGAGGCTTCAGGTAGCACGTTCTCTGTCACTTACCACCTTTTGTTAAACTGCTAAAAACACCGTTTTGGATTCATGGTACGGACACCTAAATTTATGGCATGAATAATTATGGTGTTTTTAAGAGTATACATCTAGGTATATAGTATATAATATATCATGGGAATTTGCCTAAACATACGTATGTGTGTTTCTTATAGATAAATGTAACAATGTAAGTCCTTAATAACTGTTATTGTTGTTTTAAAGTGCTTAACTAAAGGGGGTTAAAGTATTAAATTATGAAGGGCACAAAGTTCTTATGTGGCCAAATCTGGGCTTTCTCCCAGCAAGCACGGGCAAAAGACAACCAGAAAAGAAGAAGAAAGCCAGAAATTAGACTGCTTGGAGAGAGCACCCACTCAGGGAGTAAATCTTAATGCAGCGTTAGAGTCAGGGAACGGTTGAAAAACCATGCTCTGGGCCAGCAGCGGCCACAGTTACTCCGGCAGTTACTTGCCTGTTTTTATGCAGAATGCTGAAAATGGGGAGGCACAAAAGCAACTGGCATGTTTATTATATAGGTATTGCAAAATGTATGTTTTAATACCTCCAGGTAGAGGAAAATATTCAAATGCTATCCAATTCCCACTGTGGTTCTGGTTTGAGTGATTGAAGGAACTTGTGGATTGGGTTTCCACCATTGTTGCTCCATCGCCATGCCAGCCCTTATGCTGCCTTGATATTAACATGGCTCTTTCATTAGAGGTCCCAGCTCCATTTTCTGGTTTATGGGTAAGAAGGCACAAGAGAGCAAGGTAATAGTGCATTTGTGGTTTCAGTGGATGCATTATAATAATATTGTGAGAGGTGCCTTCCTAACCTGCATTGTGCTTCAGGAAGATAATCACACAATAACACATCCTCTCTTAACGCAGCTACGCTCAATGTAAATTAGTTCTATTATGTAGGTGGAATACATGTGAAGTGGATCAATTACTCTTATAGATTCCATCGTGCACGAGAGCGAAACAAATGAAGGACTGGTTGGGAGAAGATGAAAAACAGTGTCATGTCTGGCATGTCCCTTTCTGTTATCTGATGAGGAGCGAAAAAATGAATGGGAGAAGAATGGGAGTACAGAGAACATAATTTATTTAAAAAGAGGGAAAAGGCAGCAGAATAACAATGGCCAGGTTCAGTGAAACCATAGTCTTAAGAGTGACCAAACATTAGTTCCAGAGCAGATTTTGAGTCTGAATTTGAGCTTTGCTCCACCCAAGTTTTCGTCTATGACCTCATGAGTCTTTGTCAGAGACACAAGTATAGGAAAGTAAGTAAAGTATAAATATGTCTACATCTGCACATAGAGTTCAAACTGACATTAAATTGGACTTACCTAATGTCTGCTTATCTGGGGTTATGCTTTTTTTTTGGTATATTAATATATTGAGATCTGAATTATTCAATGGCAATATAATGACGGGTGAACAAGGAAAATGACAACCAGAAAGCAGTGATGGTACATGAGTAGAGAGCAATCTCTTACCATGTTTATAAATACGTCAAACAGGCAGTAAGGAGCGAGGTCACTAAAAGGCGTAAAATACAACGGTTTGTATAATCAATATAAACCAATATGTTCCTTGCACATTATGGATGGGGGATGAAATCAATAACTGGTGGACTTGCGATGGCTGAAGATGGGTTGGCTCGACTCGTGGGCGCAGGTGTCGGGGGTTGAGGGAGTCAGTGGTCCTGGTCCAGCGGACAGAGTCTAAAACAGAGAGAGCAGCCACCTGGCCACCCTGTGTCTGTTGTGGTGCGGCGTGTGTGGGTCAAGTGTGTGTGTGTGAGTGTGTGGTGTGTGGTGGGTGGTGTGTGTGTAAGTGTGTAAAAGTGAGTGTGCTGTGTGTCGTGTAATGTAGTGTGTAGTGTAAGTGTCGTGTGTAAAAAAAAGTGTCGTAGTGTCGAATGTTTGTGTGAGTGGAAGTTGTGTGTGTGCATGTGTCACCCAACGGCAGTCCCTATCCATGTCAGACCACCGTGACTGAACTGATCACAGTGGGGGTGGCGGCCGATAGCACACATAGACGCAGCACCACAGAGATGGGGAACACATTCAGGGCCAAGTAAGCTTGAATTGACAAGTCTCTTTGTCGGCCGCAAGCCTGATTTTACGATTGTCCCTTTTGTAAAGGAACTAGGAAAAAGGAAAGACTAGCATTGTAATCCGACTAGATAAAAAATGACTATCTATCTGGTTAGCATTTGACATGTTTTACCTTTGATGCGAAGTGAGCTCATGTAAGTTATTTCCCTCAATTCTCACATTGTGAAACTCTTTAAAAAGGTTTGTAGTAAAATCGAACAATAATCTGTTAAGGTACTGTTTCCATAAACTTCCCAAGATTTCACAGCTAAAACGAAAGCACCGAAGACTTAAGCAAAAACACCGTTTGTGGAAAGATTTGCCCTTTAAGAAAAACTTTAGTCAGATTCTTGCATTACTGTTTTATGATGCTAAGATAAATAAAATCAGAAACAACACATGGGATGGGTAAGTACAGACAAAGTTTTTAGAGAGGCCGGCTGGAACAAAGTTATAAATAGGACATTATGCTACTACATTAATTAATGGTAATTTTTTTTTAATTGACGTCATCAACAGAGCTTAAGTCTTCTGCTAAGCACCGTCTTGATTAAAGCTACGTAACACTATCACTAACAAAAATGAATATCAAAGTTAAGAAAGTTAATTAGTCAGGGCCCTGAGACGTCGTCCTACTGTTCTTCACGTCAGCAATCCTCTGCCCAAATCAGCATTTGTTCCTCCTTTTGGCAGGATTCCTTGATGTGGTTTATATGGGCTGGCAGCTGTTGGTTCAAATTAGGTACTTAAAAAAGAAAGGGCTTGGAGAAATAAGAAGTAAAAGAAAGGTAGTGTAATATATAGCTTTATGATAATGTATGTATTGTATTCCATTATGGATGTCTCTGGAGATTGTATTATCGACGTTGTGTGATCATTGTTTAGTTTAGTTTAAGCCCATTTCCATTGTTGTGCCTGGTCGTTGTTCAGGGCCACAGTAGGGTTAATCAGCCATAGGGCAGCTGCCTACGATCTAGTTTGGACCCAGGTCTACTGTCTTCTTCTCGCGAATTTGATTTTATACAGGCGGCCCGCTGTGGCTCAGTGGATAGAGTGCTAGGACTTCAAATCCAGTGGGGCTAGCAACGTTTGAGTCGCACTGCATCAGCATGTCGTGTGT